TCACATGCCACTTGTATACATTTCAATTATATTTGAACATATTTGATAGGTGATAATGTATTGTGCAATACGCTGAATAATGCGCTGAAAAACTGATGAATCTGATAACAAAGGGAACAAAGACCAAACTTCGTTCGCGTATGGAATGTTACAGTTTGTGTGATTTAATTATGATAAACGCGAATGAGCCTTTTGTACAATACTTGCTGACGCTCAGATCTGTTGACAATGAGTAACCCTGAGGCGAAAACAAGGGAGAGCAAAATGCCTGTCGGAAACATTTCTTCCTATAATGACAGAGACTGCGTCTTTAAATTGAAGAAATCCAAAATTTTTACATTTATTTCATAGTTGTACTGTTAAAATACCCTATTATGTGCTGAATTTATCTAATTTTGGCGCAGCACTTGATATATATTATATTTTCTTGTCAGAACGAATAAATTATGTTAAATAATTATATCTCAACCAGTTACACTGGTTGGATAGTTTGTTAGATATCTAGATCTTATTACAACCAGCAGTTATTGAATAATTAATTAATTAATTGACGTAATAACAAAGTACATACGTGTGTAACTCCATGGTTCAAAAGCCTTCCTTGAGTAATTCCGAGTTATTTATATAAATAAGATCTCTATTTTTATGGAACTAGTAGATTCGTAATTGCTCTGAAATTTGGGAACACAATCCTATATTTATTTATTATTACACGTATGCTTATTTATTTGTACTATTTCAGCATCTGAAAGAAGTGACTGATGAAACCCACAAAAGTCTTAATAGGATGTATGCGTCCGTATAATGGGTCTAAAGAGAATATTCAGTGCTCTAGACTTAGGATAAACCAAGGACCTAGAGAAATTGCAACTAATAAACCACGATGTGCAATGTTAGGTAACTCAAGCCGAAGTGAACTCACAACCGCCCTACAGCCAGTGACAGCGAGTGAAAAAGAAAGTTTTTACTTGTGAATCAATTGTTTTTTCCAGCAGTGTTAAAATATACAAGCCTACCAATAATTGGCAGAATTTGTTGACTGGAAGCTGCATTAGGCTCACCATCCCGCAGTGTAACGTTTGGGCATGTTGACAAGATTCAGTGCATGCGAGGAGTCTATTTAATGTGCATTAACTATTAATAACGCCAACGAAACAAAGGGGAAACAAGCACAATTCCTCGGTGGCGCAATTGGTTAGCGGACAGTTTTATACACCAGTGTCAGACCAATGCATGGTTTATGACTTTAATCCTGACATAGAGAATAATATTTTTATCAAACAAATACATTATGTAAGATTTTCACAGCGGTGAGTCTGAAGATTGCTGTCTTCTGGATTGTTTCGCCCTGATGATGGAAGCAGCATGGACCTCTAAAACGTTGGTGGACACCTACCAGACTACACGGTGCAACCCAGAAGACAGCAATCTTCAGATATTTAATTCGTAAAGTAATTAGACCAATAAGAATTGATTATTTCATTTCGGCGGGAAACTAACACACTTTGTACTCAGTAGGCCACAGAGAAGTGCAGAGAGACTTCCGGGACATTTGAAGTTCGAAAAGGTAAAGAGAAGGGAAGTGAGAGATAGACTTGACTTTATTACGTTTGTTATTACTACTGGTCAAAATGAGTTGCTAGATTCTCAATCCAAAATAGGTTCTGACAGGCCGAACAACTAAAAGCCCAAAAACTTTTTTATTGTAGGTTTGTCATATCGATTAACAGTTTTCATGTTGGAAACGAGGTTTATCGCTTACATATACTATCCATCCGATCTGAATAACCTCAGTGTTCATTTATCAAAGGAAATTGACTTATCTTGCCGTCTCTTCGGGAAGTCATTTTATACTTATTTTAAACTGCTTCATAACTGGGAATTATACCTTACTTCAACATGGAAATACTTTAAAATATTTTTTTATAAGAAAACCTAACAAACATATCCAAGGAGACAAGAGATTGGAAAGAGAGTAGTGAACCGTCTCTGACAAATAGGTTTGGTATTTGGTATTGAAAAATTGATA